AATGAATGAATGAATGAATGAATGAATGAATAAAATAAAATAGTGACAAGCACCAGTCAATACATAGAACACTGCTTTTAGCCAATTGTGCTTTTAAGATTGGACTTCAAAGGAATTCCATGTTTATGGTCAAACTGTGAGGTGACCATGTCATTAGTCAGCATAGCCGGGTGGTCCTGCTGTAAAATGATGCTCCTGGAGCTTCTTTTCTTAAGACTTAGGTGGAGAAATGGGGGCTAGAGTATATTCCAGTGCTGATATATTCCATGGGAAATTTCTATCTCAAGCAGTGACAATTTCAAAGTTATATGGAGTTTGCTTTTTATTCTAAATATTTAAGATAGCAAAGTACATTGTAATTTCATATGGTATTATTTCCTTATTACCTATTGCTTCCAATATTCTGATAAAGATATTTTTCTCCAGATCCCTTTTTATTTTCTTTAAATGTCATTAGTTTTCTTCATCTGCTCAAACTTCATAAAGTAGAATAGATTTCTCATGAAGTATGATAGCCCAAATACTTCTGCAGACCAATATCCATATAGCATAGGATCGTTTTCCAGAAATGTTTGCAATTCAGAATTTAATGGGAACCCTGCCTTTCAGTTTGTGTGGAGAGCTCAATTTTATAGATTGTGTATCATTCTTAGGCTACATCTGACAACACTATGTAATTACAGCAGTGTCATATATATACACCACTGTGGAATGATTTTGACGCTGTTTATTCTCCTTTTTCTTCACAGAAAATTGCAGTATATTTAAATCAAATCTTTGCTCCCTCCCTTCATTCTTAATTGAATTCAATCTGTACTTAATTACTTTTAATCTTTCTGTGTGGGGAGGGCGGGGGGGGGGGAAGAGAGAGAGAAAGGGGTCTGGTGTGTGCAGTATGCAAGTGAGATGCATACCATAAATAGGTGTGCCATCCAAATCTTAATGTAGGGCTTAAACTGTGATATTTAAGGCTGAATTCTTACATACGGTCTGAAAATTATTGATATTGTTGTTGCTAATCATGGGGCAGGACAAGGAACTGTGCAATCTTTTGAAATCCTACCTCAGATTTTTTTAAAAATATATATTTCTTAGTTGCATTGAAAACTACCATACATTTAATCCAAATAGCAGTGCATTGAGACTCTCTTTCTATTTTCCTCTACCTATTCCTCTACCTACCAACCTACCTACTCTCTCTCTCTCCCTCCCTACCTACTGTATTTCTCTCTNCCTTGTAGTAGCAGAATCCTATTATATATCATACATTACTTATAAAACGCTGCAACCCCCCCCCCCCATTCCTTTTAAAACCAGAATGCTCTCCTGTATCGCTAACGACTCTCAAAATGTATCTCCAATTAAGAAGGGTGTATTTACGGACTTGGTCAAGACTGAGAGACAGCATTCTAAGGCAGCCAGGTCTAATCTTGTAATTCTGGCATCTCAACCCACACAAACACAAAAATTCTACACTAAAAGCGTGTTTGGAAAATAATAACATGGCAACATCATGGATTTAAGATGGGGAGAGCAAAAGGGAAAGGAAGGAGATATAAAATGTTTGTTTTTTTAAAAAAAGCAACACATTTTTTCTCTTTTTTAAAAAAAAAACTGACATTACTGTACTGCTAAGTAGTTTTGTACTGGAGAAATAGGGAACCTGTTCACACTTTATTTTTGTTGTAATCATATAGTGTAAACCCGATTTGCTCAGAAAAAAAAAGAACTCTGTGCAATGGCGCTTCTTCCAATTAATGTTTTTAGCAGCTTGGTGCAAACAAGTGTCACATTCCAGTTGTGTTGGCCTTCAGGGTGTTATTACAAGCTTTAGAGTCTCAGCTTTTGGCTTCCTCTCTTAAGGGGGGAAGGTCCATGCCCTACTAATAAACCTGCCCCATGGCTTTGACAGAAAATAACTTTTTTCTTTTTTAATACTGTAGACTATTTTCAACTTTACAGAGGTCTTTCATTGCTGCAGCGTGGAACAAATGGAAGAAAAAGGGTTTTTTTTTTATTAAAAAAGAGAAATTTCTTTTTAGGGAGTAATGGACATGTTATTGTTAAAAGTATAGCAGAAAGGGTTTGTGGATGATTACATTTCACTGCAAAGCAGAAAGAGAGAAGGAGAGCTACTTTGGCATTTATCAACCTGTGGTGTAAATCTCTGTTTCTAGATTTTTATCACCTGAGCCATTGAATAGTTGCTTCCTGAAAATGTCTCTGCTTCATATATATATATTTTGCTTCCTCCATGGATGCACTCGGGGGTCTTAAGGCAGTCGCTTTAACAGAAGCCTACCGTAGAAAGATTTCAGCAAGATAAAGAGACAGCTAAACACTTGCTTGTCCTCATTATTCTTCATTGTGGTGCCTGTGATTTGCAGATGTGGGTTTGTGCTTGCAGGAAGCTCTTTATAACCCTCTACAATAGGAAGTTCTGTGGTGGGAATCCTGCCCTCCGTGGGGTTCTTTAGCATCTGCCTAAACGAAAAGTAATTCTTTTCCGAGCACAATTCTCCAAGAATCTCTTTAGCAAGATTTATGGAGAAGAAGGAGGTGGGCTTGCAAGAAAACCGGCAGCTGAATTGTTTCCCTTCTAAAATTCAGTATATCCCCAAGTACATTAGAACAGATGCTTCTTTCTTTCCTTCTTAACTGCCTTACTGGGAGCTGGAGAACTGACGGGGATGGAGGCTGTGAGGCAAACAGGCTGAGGCAGCAGATGATTTTTTCAAGGCACACAACATAATATAGGAAATATTTTGTGATGGATCTTTTCCTCCATCACAGCCTGTTTATTTTTTCCTGTAAGACAGTGCACCATTTGGAGGTATCCAGAGATGTGTTTCACATAAGTTTACCACCGGTTCAGCGTGCACCGAAAATGTGATCGGACGTGTGCGTGCCTTCCCCACATGCGCTTTCTCATGCGCGCAGCTTGCACATATGCGGACGGCTTAGAAAATGTGGCTAAATAGGACAGCATAGTGCACCTGCAGACCACCTGAACCGGTCCGAACCGGCTGAATACCACCACTGGATGCATCCACTCCTGATTTCAAGGGTTTCCACCAGCCCTTCCTCGTTCTGCATATTTGTATGCCAGATTGTGGCAGCAATAAACCCACAATTTATCCTTTGTCCTAAGATGTGTTAGAGTGGGGTTCTTGTATGCTGCCAGTAGACCAAGGTATATTTTTTTGATTTCACTGATAATTCCATTGTGGGATTCCAAAGAAAAGATGAAGGATGTTTCCTCATCAAGACTCAGGTTTTCCATAAATTCAAGGGGACATTGATTCCTTAGCAAAACACCGTTCTCTTTTTCTTTCTCTAAAGGAAGCCCTGCAAAAAATCAGGCAGAAGAATACCATGCGGCGGGAAGTCACTGTTGAGCTCAGCAGCCAAGGATTCTGGAAGACGGGAATTCGTTCTGATGTCTGTCAGGTGAGTTGAAGTTCCTTTTGCCTTCCTAGGGGAGGGTGAAAGTCAGTTTTAACGAAGGCTCTTTCAAACCTGTGGAATACAAATAAGGAGCAGCATGGCTCCCAATCTCTCAAAATTCAACAAATCTACTATTCCTTTCAGAATAGTCCTAAAGAATATCTATATGGTTTCTCATGAATCATTGAGCCGAGGTGGCGCAGTGGTTAGAGTGCAGCACTGCAGGCCACTTCAGCTGACTCTTATCTGCAGTTCAGGGGTTCTAATCTCACCGGCTCAA